GGAGTAGTCTGATTTATACCATTGGTGTTACTGGGACTAGTCTGATTTATACCATTGGTGTTACTGACACTACTCTGATTTATACCATTGGTATTAATGGGGGGATTAAGTAGTGTGGACTTGTGTGACACTAGTCTGATTTATACCATTGGTGTAACTGGGGGGATTAAGTAGTCTGCACTTGTGCGACACTAGTCTGATTTATACCATTGGTGTTACTGGGACTAGTCTGATTTATACCATTGGTGTTACTGACACTAGTCTGATTTATACCATTGGTGTAACTGGGGGGATTAAGTAGTCTGCACTTGTGTGACACTAGTCTGATTTATACCATTGGTGTTTCTGGGGGGATTAAGTAGGCTGCACTTGTGTGACACTAGTTTTATTTATACCATTGGTGTAACTGGGGGGTTTAAGTAGTCTGCACTTGTGTGACACTTGTCTGATTTATACCATTTGTTTTAATGGGACTAGTCTGATTTATCCCATTCGTGTTACTGACACTAGTCTCATTTATACCATTGGTGTCACTGGCACTAGTCTGATTGATACCATTGGTGTTACTGTGACTAGTCTGATTTATCCCATTGGTTTTACTGGGGGGATTAAGTAGGCTGCACTTGTGTGACACTAGTGTGATTTATACCATTGGTGGTTCTGGCACTAGTCTGATTTAAACCATTGGTGTTACTGGTACTAGTCTGATTTATACTGTTGGTGTGACTGAGACTAGTCTGATTTAGACCATTGGTGTTACTGGTACTAGTCTAATTTATTCCATTGGTGTAACTGGGGGGATTAAGTAGGCTGCACTTGTGTGACACTAGTCTGAGTTATACCATTGGTGTTATTGACACTAGTCTGATTTATATCATTGGTGTTACTGACACAAGTCTGATTTATACCATCGGTGTTACTGGGAGGATTAAGTAGTGTGGACGTGTCTGACACTAGTCTGATTTATTCCATTGGTGTAACTGGGGGGATTAGGTAGTCTGCACTTGTGTGACACTAGTTTTATTTATACCATTGGTGTGTGACACTAGTCTGATTTCTACCATTTGTGTTACTGGCCCTAGTCTGATTTATACCGTTGGTGTTACTGGCACTTGTTTGATTTATACCATTGGTTTTACTGGGACTAGTCTAATTTATACCATTGGTGTTAATGACACTAGTCTGATTTATCCCATTCGTGTTACTGACACTAGTGTGATTTATACCATTGGTGTTGTTACTGACACTAGTCTGACTTATACCATTGGTGTTATTGGGACTAGTCTGTTTTATATCATTGGTGTTACTGGGAATTGTCTGATTTATTCCATTGGTGTTTCTGGGGGGATTAAGTAGTGTGGACTTATGTGACACTAGTCTGATTTCTACCATTTGTGTTACTGGGACTAGTTTTATTTATACCATTGGTGTCACTGGCACTAGTCTGATTGATACCATTGTTGTTACTGTGACTAGTCTGATTTATACTATTGGTGTTGCTGGGACAAGTCTGATTTATACCATGGGTTTTACTGGGACTAGTCTAATTTATACCATTGGTGTAACTGGCACTAGTCTGATTGATACCATTGGTGTTACTGGGAGGATTAAGTAGTGTGGACGTGTCTGACACTAGTCTGATTAATACCATTGGTGTTACTAGCACTAGTCTGATTTATTCCATTGGTTTTACTGGGACTAGTCTGATCTATACCATTGGTGTTACGGGGACTAGTCTGATTTAGTCCATTGGTGTTTCTGGGACTAGTCTTATTTATTCCATTGGTGTAACTGGGGGGTTTAAGTAGTCTGCACTTGTGCGACACTAGTCTGATTTATCCCATTCGTGTTACTGACACTAGTTACTGGCACTAGTCTTATTACCATTGGTGTTACTGTGACTAGTCTTATTTATACCTGGGACTAGTCTGATTTACACCATTGGTGTTACTGGGATTAGTCTGATTTATACCGTTGATGTTACTGACACTAGTCTGCTTTATACCATTGGGGTTACTGGGGCTAGGCTGATTTATACCATTGGCGCTACTGACACTAGTCTGATCTATACCATTGGTGTTACAGGCACTAGTCTGATTTAAACCATTGGTGTTACTGGAACTAGTCTGATTTATGCCATTGGTGTTACTGGGGGGATTAAGTAGGCTGCACTTGTGTGACACTTGTCTGATTTATACCATTGGAGTTTCTGACACTAGTCTGATTAATACCATTGGTGTTACTGAGACTAGTCTGATTTATACCAATGGTGTTACTGGGACTAGTTACTGACACTAGTCTTATTTATTCCATTGGTGTAACTGGGGGGATTAAGTGTCTGCACTTGTGTGACACTAGTATGATTTATACCATTGGTATTAATGGGGGGATTAAGTAGTGTGGTCTTGTGTGACACTAGTCTGAGTTATACCATTGGTGTTATTGACACTAGTCTGATTTACACCATTGGTGTTACTGGGCCTAGTCTGATTTATACCATTTGTTTTAATGGGACTAGTCTGATTTACACCATTGGTGTTACTGGAACTAGTCTGATTTATGCCATTGGTGTTACTGGGTCTAGTCTGATTGATACCATTGTTGTTACTGGGACTAGTATGATTTATACCATTGGTTTTACTGGCACTAGTCTGATTGATACCATTGTTGTTACTGTGACTAGTCTGATTTATCCCATTGGTTTTACTGGGACTAGTCTGATTTATCCCATTCGTGTTACTGACACTAGTCTTATTTATACTATTGGTGTTACTGGGAGGATTAAGTAGTGTGGACGTGTCTGACACTAGTCTGATTAATACCATTGGTGTTACTTACACTAGTCTGATTTATTCCATTGGTTTTACTGGGGGGATTAAGTAGGCTGCACTTGTGTGACACTTGTCTGATTTATACCATTGCTGTTACTGACACTAGTCCGATTTATACCATTGGTGGTTCTGGCACTAGTCTGATTGATACCATTGGTGTTACTGGCTAGTCTGATTTATACCAGTGTTGTTACTGGGACTAGTCCGATTTATACCGTTGGTGTTACTGGCACTAGCCTGATTTCTACCATTGGTGTTACTGACACCAGTCTGATTTATACCATGGGTTTTACTGGGACTAGTCTAATTTATACCATTGGTGTAACTGACACTAGTCTGATCTATACCATTGGTGTTACCGACACTAGTCTGATTTATGCCATTGGTGTTACTGGGAATTGTCTGATTTATTCCATTGGTTTTACTGGGACTAGTCTGATTGATACCATTGGTGTTACTAACACTAGTCTGATTTATAACATTGGTGTTACTGGGACCAGGCTGATTTATACCATTGGAGTTTCTGACACTAGTCTGATTTGTACCATTGGTGTTACTAACACTAGTCTGATTTATAGCATTGGTGTGACTGGGATTTGTCTGATTTATACCATTGGAGTTTCTGACACTAGTCTGATTCATACCATTGGTGTTACTTACACTAGTCTGATTTATGCCATTGGTGTAACTGGGGGGATTAAGTGTCTGCACTTGTGTGACACTAGTCTAATTTATACCATTGGTGTGACTGACACTAGTCTGATTTGTACCATTGGTGTTACTAACACTAGTCTGATTTATTCCATTGGTTTTACTGGGGGGATTAAGTAGTGTGGTCTTGTGTGACACTAGTCTAATTTATACCATTGGTGTCACTGGCACTAGTCTGATTGATACCATTGTTGTTACTGGTACTAGTCTGATTTATACTGTTGGTGTGACTGAGACTAGTCTGATTTATATCATTGGTGTTACTGGGACGAGTCTGATTTAGACCATTGGTGTTACTGGGGGGATTAAGTAGTGTGGACGTGTGTGGAACTAGTCTGATTTATACTGTTGGTGTGACTGGGACTAGTCTTATTTATCCCATTGGTGTTACTGACACGAGTCTGATTTATACCATTTGTTTTAATGGGACTAGTCTGATTTAGTCCATTGGTGTTTCTGGGGGGATTAAGTAGGCTGCACTTGTGTGACACTAGTGTGATTTCTACCATTGGTGTTACTGGTACTAGTCTGATTTATACTATTGGTGTTACTGACACCAGTCTGATTTATACCATGGGTGTTACTGACACTAGCCTGATTTATACCATTGGTGGTTCTGGCACTAGTCTGATTTAAACCATTGGTGTTACTGGAACTAGTCTGATTTATGCCATTGGTGTTACTGGGACTAGTCTGATTTATACTGTTGGTGTGACTGGGACTAGTCTGATTTATACCATTGGTGTTACTGACACTAGTTTGATTGATACCATTGGTGTTAATGGCACTAGTCTGATTTATTCCATTGGTTTTACTGGCACTAGTCTGATTTAAACCATTTGTGTTACTGGGACTAGAATGATTTATACCATTGATGTTACTGACCCTAGTCTGATTTATACCTTTGGTGTTACTGGGAGGGAAGGAGCATGCAAATAGTCTGATTTATACAATTGGTGTTACTGACACCAGTCTGATTTATACCACTGGTGTTACTGACACTAGTCTGATTATACCATTGGGGTTACTGGCACTAGTCTGATTTATACCGTTGGTGTTACTGGCACTTGTTTGATTTATACCATTGGTGTTACTGGGACTAGTCTGATTTATACCGTTGGTGTTACTGGGAGGATTATACCATTGGTGTTACTGGGAGGAAAGGAGCATGCAAATAGTGCCGGTTTTAAAGATTTTGAAAATAAAAAGGACAACTGATTCACCTTTTGGTGGAAATTTCTCAGGAAATACCATTACATGTATAATGATTAACAGAACCAGCATATGTGTTTATGTAACATAGGTATCTTTTAGTTATAGCCCTTCTCCCCGGGTCTACTTTGCTGACATGTGTTGTTTACCTGACAGACATGTGTTGTTCACCTGACTGACATGTGTTGTTTACCTGACTGACATGTGTTGTTTACCTGGCTGACATCTTGTTTGAATACTTGACAGACTCCAGAACCAGGTGGATGATGTTGTTGGCATTATGAAGGATAACATGGGTAAAGTGATTGACCGCGGTGATCGCCTGGAGGATCTACAGGACAAATCTGGTAAGTTACAGGGGGATCTACAGGACAAATCTCGTAAGTTCCAGGGGGATCTACAGGACAAATCTGGTAGGTTACAGGGGGATCTACAGGACAAATCTCGTAAGTTCCAGGGGGATCTACAGGACAAATCTGGTAAGTTACAGGGGGATCTACAGGACAAATCTGGTAAGTTACAGGGTGTACTTATAACAAATGTCACGTCTGTCAGGTTTGATACAATATGTATAATCATGATATATGTGCTTTATATTTCTGCACTGATACATACATCTTCTTTACCCTTTGGTGTGCTGTGAAGGGGGAAAATTTGGCCTTGGTATAATTTTGCTCTGTTCAAAGTGAAGGGAAATTACATGTAGTTATATAATTATATGAAAAAACAGCACACGGACATACAAATGTAGTTAACAGTATAAGTGTGTATACATAGGTGAATATCACAATGGTTAAGTTTTTCTTGAATTAATAGTCAGAAAAAAGGTTATTTTGCAATATTTCCTTAAAGTTTTTAATTCTTTTTACTTTCTACAATTCAGACAGCTTGGCTGGTAACTCTGATCTACTTTCTACATTTCAGACAGCTTGGCTGGTAACTCTGATTTACTTTCTACATTTCAGACAGCTTGGCTGGTAACTCTGATTTACTTTCTACACTTCAGACAGCTTGGCTGGTAACTCTGATTTACTTTCTACATTTCAGACAGCTTGGCTGGTAACTCTGATTTACTTTTTACATTTCAGCCAGCTTGGCTGGTAACTCTGATTTACGTTCTACATTTCAGATATCTTGACTGGTAACTCTGATTTACTTTCTACATTTCAGACAACTTGGCTGGTAACTCTGATTTGTTTCGATCACGTTCTCGTGACCTGAGAAAAAACATGTGGTGGAAAAATTGCAAGGTAATAATTTGGTTAATCCGTATTTAAGGTAATTCTGTTTGATTCATTTTAAGGTAATGGTGTCAGCACATCCGTTTATGATACTAGTTTTACTTCAATGATGTTGATCTTTATTTATCTCAGACCAAAGTCAACAGAGCCCAACATGTCTTTGTAATAAACACTCGGGATACCCCACTCCTCCTGGGGATACCCACTCCATAGCTGTTTGTGTGACAACACCTGGGATACCCACTTCACAATTGCTGTTTGTGTGACAACACCTGGGATACCCACTCCATAGTTGCTGTTTGAGTGACAATACCTGGGATACCCACTCCATAGCTGTTTGTGTGACGACACCTGGGATACCCACTCCATATTGGCTGTTAGTGTGACAACACCTGGGATACCCACTTCACAATTGCTGTTCGTGTGACCACACCTGGGATACCCCCTCCATAGTTGCTGTTTGTGTGACAACACCTGTGATACCCAATCCATAGTGGCTCTTTGTGTGATAACACCTGGGATCCCCACTCCATAGTTGCTGTTTGTGTGATAACCCCTGGGATACCCACTCCATAGTGGCTGTTTGTCTGACAACACCTGGGATACCCACTCCATACTGGCTGTTTGTGTGACAACACCTGGGATACCCACTCCATAGTTGCTGTTTGTGTGACAACACCTGTGATACCCACTCCATAGTGGCTCTTTGTGTGATAACACCTGGGATACCCACTCCATAGTTGCTGTTTGTGTGACAACACCTGGGATACCCACTCCATAGTGGCTGTTTGTGTGACAACACCTGGGATACCCACTCCATAGTGGCTGTTTGTGTGACAACACCTGGGATACCCACTCCATAGTGGCTGTTTGTGTGACAACACCTGGGATACCCACTCCATAGTGGCTGTTTGTGTGACAACACCTGGGATACCCACTCCATAGTGGCTGTTTGTGTGACAACACCTGGGATACCCACTCCATAGTGGCTGTTTGTGTGACAACACCTGGGATACCCACTCCATAGTTGCTGTTTGTGTGACAACACCTGGGATACCCACTCCATAGTGGCTGTTTGTGTGACAACACCTGGGATACCCACTCCATAGTTGCTGTTTGTGTGACAACACCTGGGATACCCACTCCATAGTGGCTGTTTGTGTGACAACACCTGGGATACCCACTCCATAGTTGCTGTTTGTGTGACAACACCTGGGATACCCACTCCATAGTGGCTGTTTGTGTGACAACACCTGGGATACCCACTCCATAGTTGCTGTTTGTGTGACAACACCTGGGATACCCACTCCATAGTGGCTGTTTGTGTGACAACACCTGGGATACCCACTCCATAGTTGCTGTTTGTGTGACAACACCTGGGATACCCACTCCATAGTGGCTGTTTGTGTGACAACACCTGGGATACCCACTCCATAGTTGCTGTTTGTGTGACAACACCTGGGATACCCACTCCATAGTGGCTGTTTGTGTGACAACACCTGGGATACCCACTCCATAGTTGCTGTTTGTGTGACAACACCTGGGATACCCACTCCATAGTGGCTGTTTGTGTGACAACACCTGGGATACCCACTCCATAGTTGCTGTTTGTGTGACAACACCTGGGATACCCACTCCATAGTGGCTGTTTGTGTGACAACACCTGGGATACCCACTCCATAGTTGCTGTTTGTGTGACAACACCTGGGATACCCACTCCATAGTGGCTGTTTGTGTGACAACACCTGGGATACCCACTCCATAGTAGCTGTTTGTGTGACAACACCTGGGATACCCACTCCATAGTGGCTGTTTTTGTGATAACACCTGGGATACCCACTCCATAGTTGCTGTTTGTGTGACAACACCTGGGATACCCACTCCATAGTGGTTGTTTGTGTAACGATACCTGGGATACCCCACTCCATAGTTGCTGTTTGTGTGACAACACCAGGGATACCCCACTCCATAGTTGCTGTTTGTGTGACAACCCCTGGGATACCCCACTCCATAGTTGCTGTTTGTGTGACAACCCCAGGGATACCCCACTCCATAGTTGCTGTTTGTTTGACAACCCCTGGGATACCCCACTCCATAGTTGTTTGTGTGACAATACCTGGGATACCCCACTCCATAGTTGCTGTTTGTGTGGCAACACCTGGGAAACCCCACTCCATAGTTGTTTGTGTGAGAACACCTGGGATACCCACTCCATAGTTGTTTGTGCGACAACACCTGGGATACCCACTCCATAGCTGTTTGTGTGACAACACCTGGGATACCCACTCCATAGTTGCTGTTTGTGTGACAATACCTGGGATACCCCACTTCCACGTTGCTGTTTGTGTGACAACACCTGGGATACCCCACTTCGACGTTGCTGTTTTTGTGACAACACCTGGGATACCCCACTTCCACGTTGCTGTTTGTGTGACAACACCTGGGATACCCCACTCCATAGTTGCTATTTGTGTGACAACACCTGGGATACCTCACTCCATAGTTGCTATTTGTGTGACAACACCTGGGAAACCCCACTCCATAGTTGTTTGTGTGACAACACCTGGGATACCCACTCCATAGTTGTTTGTGTGACAACACCTGGGATACCCACTCCATAGCTGTTTGTGTGACAACACCTGGGATACCCCACTCCATAGTTGTTTGTGTGACAATACCTGGGATACCCCACTCCATAGTTGCTGTTTGTGTGACAACACCTGGGATACCCCACTTCCACGTTGCTGTTTGTGTGACAATACCTGGGATACCCCACTTCCACGTTGCTGTTTGTGTGACAACACCTGGGATACCCCACTTCCACGTTGCTGTTTTTGTGACAACACCTGGAATACCCCACTTCCACGTTGCTGTTTGTGTGACAATACCTGGGATACCCCACTTCCACATTGCTGTTTGTGTGACAACACCTGGGATACCCCACTTCCCCGTTGCTGTTTGTGTGACAATACCTGGTATACCCCTCTTTCACCTTGCTGTTTGTGCGACAATACCTGAGATACCCCACTTCCACGTTGCTGTTTGTGTGACAACACTTGGGATACCCCACTCCATAGTTGCTGTTTGTGTGACAATACCTGGGATTCCCCACTCCATAGTTGCTGTTTGTGTGACAACACCTGGGATACCCACTCCATAGCTGTTTGTGTGACAACACCTGGGATTCCCCACTTCCCCGTTGCTGTTTGTGTGACAACACTTGGGATACCCCACTCCATAGTTGCTGTTTGGGTGACAATACCTGGGATACCCAACTCCATAGTTGCTGTTTGTGTGACACCACCTTGGATACCCACTCCATAGCTGTTTGTGTGACAACACCTGGGATCCCCACTCCATAGCTGTTTGTGTGACAACACCTGGGATCCCCACTCCATAGCTGTTTGTGTGACAACACCTGGGATTCCCCACTTCCCCGTTGCTGTTTGTGTGACAATACCTGGGATACCCCTCTTCCACGTTGCTGTTTGTGTGACAATACCTGGTATACCCCTCTTCCATGTTGCTGTTTGTGTGACAATACCTGGGATACCCCCCTTCCACGTTGCTGTCTGTGTGACAATACCTGGTATACCCCTCTTCCACGTTGCTGTTTGTGTGACAATACCTGGTATGCCCCTCTTCCACGTTGCTGTTTGTGTGACAATACCTGGGATTCCCAACTCCTCATTTGCTGTTTGTGTGACAACACTCAGGATACCCCAAGCCCCACCGGGATACCCCACTTCCACATTGCTGTTTGTGTGACAATACCTGGGATACCCCTCTTTCACGTTGCTGTTTGTGTGCCAACACCTGGGATACCTCACTTCCACATTTGCTGTTTGTATGACAATACCTCGGATACCCCAATCCCCACTGGGATACCCACTCCACAGTTGCTGCTTGTGTGACAACACCTGGGATACCCCAATCCCCACTGGGATACCCACTCCACGGTTGCTGTTTGTGTGACAACACCTGGGATACCCCACTCCATAGTTGCTGTTTCTCTGACAATACGTGGGATATCCCTCTTCTACATTTGCTGTGTGTGTGACAATACCTGGGATCCCTTACTTCCACATTGCTGTTTGTGTAACAGCACCTGGGATACTCCACTCCACATTTTCCACGTTGCTGTTTGTGTGACAACACTTGGGATACCCCACTCCATAGTTGCTGTTTGTGTGACAATCCCTGGGATACCCCACTCCATAGTTGCTGTTTGTGTGTCAACGATACCTGGGATACCCCACTCCATAGTTGCTGTTTCTCTGACAATACGTGGGATATCCCTCTTCTACATTTGCTGTGTGTGTGACAATACCTGGGATCCCTTACTTCCACATTGCTGTTTGTGTAACAGCACCTGGGATACTCCACTCCACATTTGCTGTTTGTGTGACAACACTTGGGATACCCCAATCCCCACTGGGATACCCACTCCACAGTTGCTGCTTGTGTGACAACACCTGGGATACCCCAATCCCCACTGGGATACCCACTCCATAGTTGCTGTTTGTGTGACAATACCTGGGATGCCCCTCTTCCACGGTGCTGTTTGTGTGACAATACCTGGTATACCCCTCTTCCATGTTGCTGTTTGTGTGAGAATACCTGGGATACCCCACTCCATAGTTGCTGTTTGAGTGACAATACCTGGGATACCCCACTCCCTAGTTGCTGTTTGTGTGACAATACCTGGGATACCCCACTTCCACGTTGCTGTTTGTGTGACAATACCTGGTATGCCCCTCTTCCACGTTGCTGTTTGTGTGACAATACCTGGGATTCCCCTACTTCCACGTTGCTGTTTGTGTGACAACAATACCCCACTCCATAGTTGCTGTTTGTGTGACAATACCTGGGATACCCCACTCCATAGTTGCTGTTTCTCTGACAATACATGGGATATCCCTCTTCTACATTTGCTGTGTGTGTGACAATACCTGGGATCCCTTACTTCCACATTGCTGTTTGTGTAACAGCACCTGGGATACTCCACTCCACATTTGCTGTTTGTGTGACAACACTTGGGATACCCCAATCCCCACTGGGATACCCACTCCACAGTTGCTGTTTGTGTGACAACACCTGGGATACCCCAATCCCCACTGGGATACCCACTCCACGGTTGCTGTTTGTGTGACAACACCTGGGATACCCCACTTCCACATTTGCTGTTTGTAAGACAATACGCTGGATACCCCAATCCCCCCCGGGATACCCCACTTCCATGTTGCTGTTTGTGTGACAATACATGGGATACCCCACTTCCACATTTGCTGTTTGTATGACAATACCTCAGATACCCAATCCCCACTGGGATACCCACTCCATAGTTGCTGTTTGTGTGACAATACCTGGGATACCCCTCTTCCACGTTACTGTTTTGTGTGACAATACCCGGGATTCCCAACTCCATAGTTGCTGTTTGTGTGACAACGCCTGGGATCCCTCACTTCCACATTTGCTGTTTGTGTGACAACACCTGGGATACCCCACTCTATAGTTGCTGTTTGTGTGACAATACCTGGGATACCCCTCTTTCACGTTGCTGTTTGTGTGCCAACACCTGGGATACCTCACTTCCACATTTGCTGTTTGTATGACAATACCCCGGATACCCCAATCCCCACTGGTATACCCACTCCACGGTTGCTGTTTGTGTGACAACACCTGGGATACCCCAATCCCCACTGGGATGCCCCACTTCCACATTGCTGTTTGTGTGACAACACCTGGGATACCCCACTTCCACATTTGCTGTTTGTAAGACAATACGCTGGATACCCCAATCCCCTCCGGGATACCCCACTTCCATGTTGCTGTTTGTGTGACAACACCTGGGATACCCCACTTCCACATTTGCTGTTTGTATGACAATACCTCGGATACCCCAATCCCCACTGGGATACCCACTCCATAGTTGCTGTTTGTATGACAATACCCCGGATACCCTAATCCCCACTGGGATACCCACTCCACGGTTGCTGTTTGTGTGATAATACCTGGGATACCCCTCTTTCACGTTGCTGTTTGTGTGCCATCGCCTGGGATACCTCACTTCCACATTTGCTGTTTGTATGACAATGCCTCGGATGCCCCAATCCCCACTGGGATACCCACTCCACGGCTGCTGTTTGTGTGAGAATACCAGGGATACCTCACTTCCACATTGCAGTTTGTTTGACAACACCTGGGATACCCCACTGCACATTTATTTGCTCTACAGGATGCCCCCCGCCCCTCCCCCTCACTGGACCCTTTACTACAGCAAAGTTTGGCTGGACAATGAAGGCAGCTTTACAAGGTTTTACTGTATTTTCTATCAAATCTACGATTTTGTGCTACAGGGTATATTTTTCTCATGTTTGATAGATGATTCCAGTCATCTTTTGTGATAGTATAACGGGTACCTACCGGTGTGCCCAGTTTGACCGATCATCAAGCTAAACGTAGTACCTTGACTGGACCTAGTAATGCTGGAATAGTGTACACCTCCGTTCCAAGACTTTCAGTTTCCCTTGATACTAATAACTATGTTCTCTTTGTAGATGAAGATAATCTTGGCACTGGTGGTTGTTATCATACTGGCAGTTATTATCAGTAAGTAATTAGTGTCTGAAGGGCCACGTGGGCTATTGCAGTCTGTTGTCATCCGTTGTTTGCCTGTATTTTTAACTTTTTCAATGGACAACTTCTTCTCATAACCACTCTGCTTATTACATCCAACTTTAGTAGGAAGTATTCCTTGACGATGTTGAGACATAGTCAAGGTCATAGTGACCCCTAGCAGTGTAGTAATTCCTTTGACCTTGACATATATTTAAGGTCATAGGGATTAGATCTGTTAAAATGCTCATACAACCTCTTCTAACTAACCAAATCATATAGTATGTTGATATTTGTCCATAAGCTTGCTGGCATGAAGTGTCCAAATGATTGTGAAAAAAATGGTCATGGCCCAAATCCAAGGTCACCCGAGTCTAATTTGTTAAACACTAAACAACTTCTTCTGAAGAACCAAAGGAGTAGAGTCATAGAATGTGAAAAGTAGATTGCTGGAATGGTGTGCTACAAAGTTTTTGAAAAGAAGTGACCTTGATCAATATTTAGAGTCAGCGTTCAAATTTATCAAAACACTCAAAATGACTTCAAAAGAGTACTGGGAAACCTATTAACATGATCTTAAAATATACGGTACAGTGATTTTAAACAAAGTGAAAAATTTAACTATGTAGCACAATAAACAGTATCTGTAACAACAGTTTATGAACTGTATAATTATGTATGCCCATGTTACTTGAGGCAGGGATGGGCAATGGGTAATATGTTTGCCTTGTCTGTCTTTCCGTCACATTCCTTGGCATCACGATCTGCCCTACTTCTACGGCTACTAAAAATGGAATTTAACAAAAGATAGTTAGCTTGTGATCACTCTAACAGAAGATAGTTATCTTGTGATCACTCTAACAGAAGATAGTTATCTTGTGATCACTCTAACTGAAGATAGTTAGCTTGTGATCACTCTAACAGAAGATAGTTAGCTTGTGATCACTCTATAGATGAAGCTAGGACATGTTAATTGTGAGTCTTGCTCACTTTCTCTTTTTAGATATCCAGTAAATAATTGAAATACATTAAAATAATTCACGAAGTACCAATAATTAATATACAGTGCAATAATTAAATTATGACGTGGAGTTAATATTTCTGTTATCAGTTCCTATCATCATGAGTCACACAGGAAACGATGGCTAGGAGGTGATGAATGCGTACTGGAGAGCTGTGATACAAGAAGCGGGTGGAGGCGTGCTGGAGAGCTGTGACGTCAGATCTGTTACCTTAACTTCCCTGATTTATCTCCCTTCTGTAGCCCTGTAGGGTCTTTTCTTTTTGTAAATATATCTATAAGCTTTATTTAACATGTGATGGAAGTTTTTATTTGTTTCTTATAATAAAATTATGCTTTTCAGTTGTTTTTCCTGACATGTAGACCAATTACACTTAATCCTGTTCATTTCCCGTTCCTTTTGCTTCTATTATAATTGAAAAATTCTTCTAGTTCAGGAAAATAACAATGATCAAATGATATTGAACGAATATTTATCAGTTCTATTGCTAAATGCATTGAAGCAAATGCTCTAAAGAAACGTTACAATTGGCCCGAAGCATTGATCTACATAGGCGTTATTTCGTGCAATTTGTCCATTTTGATTGTAAAGTAATTTGAATGTATTTATTGTGAAGATTATTGTGTATATTTATGTTAAATGTATTGATGTACTATCAGAAAAGTATATGAACCAATTAAGGTGTTATCGCTTCTAACTGTTTCAAAGGTTTCCATTTTTGTCATGTGATTAATGTTTTTGTACTACTTACTGTGTTCACAGTAGCATAGTATGTGGCATATGTCAGTCTTTGTTTTGTAGGTGAATGATGTTTTTTAAAGAAAGTATGTGCCAATGTCAACTCCTGATGAAACAATCCATTGTCATGATATGTGTTGTAATGGATGAGTGGACAGCAGATATCTGTCATGTTTACAAATATATGTGTAATACATGTTGAAGACCGATTCCCAAAAAAACATTGATACAACTCAATGTTTACTTTCGTGCTACATCATTATTTTCATGTGTAGGTGTTAATGGAAATGTAGGAACTGCAATACCATAATGAATCAGTCGGATGTGAGGAAAGGTATAAAACACGATTTTTATTTAAGTGACAAATATGTCTGAGCTATGTAAAAAAAGCTTTAATTGGATGACGTCGTAATATCTCATTTCAAGTTTGGGTTGAAATTTTCAATTATTCTTTAATAAAAATGGCCATACTTACATAATTCAATATGCAAATTACCGGAACCTTTTTGATATACCTGGTATATGAAATATTAAGCATTTATTCGTTTTTAGATAAATCATGAATTAAAAATTTGGTGTCGAGGACGTTAAACCCCCCAAAAAACTAAAATCTGTGTCAGCTAGTATGTAGACAGTTACAAAGGGGCGATTTTCTGTAACTATGAGGATGAAAGATTTAAAATATTGTGTACTATTTTGTCATCAAAAGCATGACAAAGTCGCAGGTGATTTGTCCGATAAGATACACGTGACAATAAAAATGAAACAATGTTCGATGTGTTTGTTATCTCCCTAGGAATTTTTAAGTTAATTTGCATTGTGATAAGCCTCACTTTTCTGATATGGCAAGCCTCTGCCTGATCACACTGAAGCGAGATTCCCCGAGAGGTTACAATACAAAAGTTTGCGAGATTCCCCGAGAGGTTACAATACAAAAGTTCGCGAGATTCCCCGAGAGGTTACAATACAAAAGTTGTGTTTCTGTGGTAGTTAAAATGTAAATGTACATCAATACCCAGAACTTGCTGAAACTGTCGCCCGAGGATGAACAATGACGTTCGCCTCCAATCGACCATGATCGTGTGGTGTGTTATAATATCGGCTGGTAATGTTCCGACGGTCGTCGTCAGATACGTTAGGTTGTGACGTCACGTTATCTGCCCGTTGAATTTCTGGTTGACCTGTGTCACGTGCACTGAACCTTGGAATAGCTGGTTCCTGTTTGTGTGGAGGTTTTCTTCTCTTCAATAAACCGATTTTGTATCTCTGAATTCTGTTGATAGTTTCCGTGTCTTCCTCTGTCTCTGCGTCGATGTCTGGGAAGCAAGACAACAAAATAATAAATTTTGAAGTTTGAACAATGAAAGAATGAATTGTACTTAGTTTACTCATTGATTTTTAATACTCTCACACATTATGTTACTAGGAAACGTATACAAGTGGTCCAGCTTATGTTTAACTAACGACGTCAGTGCCGACGATGTCCTATTGCATGTAGAAATGATCCACGTTTTATTACACGCTGAATCTAATAAAAAAAGAAGAATGCTTTACATTTAACTTTTGAAAATGTATGAAATTATCACGGAGAACGTATCAAAGTTTCTTTATCAACACAACCGGTATGATATATGTGAGATATACAATAGGCATTGGAGCATTTCCTCATGAAGGAGACGGTGAATATGTTACTAGTCATCGAAACGTCACATAAAACTTCACTGGTTGTGCTATATGAACCTTATACAGGGTGTAGTTTCCGGACTGTGAGTTGTCACATGCTGTACCTTATCTGAAAGTCTTAGAGGTTATTTACCCAAACTGTCGTTATTGTCACGCTTAACTCGCGTGCGTGTGGTCTCCAGTGCGCCTTCCTCCGTAATTGGTACAATGTCGTTCATCTGAAGGACTTGTGCCGTGTGTTGGTCTTCACTGGTTTGTTGGCTACAATAAAATATATTGCGCTGGTCAATTAGATCGATAACTCATACGTATGTAGATAAATTTTTGGTAAATATGATGTTGCTTTACATATCACATATATTACAAAAGTAATTCATTACATAGACAGTAACATGCCTTCAATTTGATCTTTCATTATAAAGAAAGTGACTCATACCTTTCTTTCTTCAGTGTAACCTTCCGGAATTTCTGTGTCGCTTGAACAATTGCTACTTTTGTATTCCCTTGTGTTGCGTTATCTGTTTCTACTTCCGCCGTTATGGCTCTATCTGTGGAAGCTCTCGGTTGCGTTATCCTGGCTGTCTTTCTTATCTCAGTCCGAGAGTCAATCCGTGTGCCCGATGTTGACTTCAGTGATACAGTTCCTTTTGGTTCAACTGTTGACGTTTGTCTTGGTCCTACTTTGGATGTTCCAGCTCTAGTTTGTCCTCCTTTGGACGGCTGATAAACATTCCCAGCCTTTAGTGGTCCTACCTTAGACGTCTGACCAGCAGATAGCAGCTTGGCTACTCTTGTTGCTGCCAGCATGGACATGGCTATTCCGACAGAAAAGAACACGCTCATTAAACAGCAGTTACTCTATGAACATACACGCGTAGAACATGAATTAACATGTTGATCAGGTTAAAAGGAGCTCGTACATACCAGCGTTGCCCAGGCCCCCTTGGTTTCTCCTTGGCCCCACCTTCGGGCCACCATGCCCGGGTACCTCGCGCGAGTTCTTGGCTGACTGACCGTCCGACTTCAGCTTCCATGTGGCTGTAAGATGATAAAAGACTACACATGGTTGTTAGACAAAGGTAAAGGATAAATGACCCAACGTGATTCAAAAGAAGTGGAAGAACATAATAGATTCCACGCGGCAGTAAGGTAGTGGTTAAGACAACAGATTCCAGGCTGTAAGGAAGTTGTCGGTGGTTGAGGTAAAAGATAAAAAGACCCACATGAGCCTGTAAAAAGAACTAGAAAACATCTAAATGAGAAAACCTTAATTCAAACTCAAAATTGAAGAAACTAGGGCAGTTATCAACGAATGAAACCTCACATGGAAAACCTTGAAGATTATATAGAGAATAAAACCACTTATTTCGTATGTATAAGCGACTTTTGCTTCATCGACGAATGGAGCTTGGTAAAGTTCAAGCAATATCACGTCCTAAAGGGAGAACCGGGGTAGTGACAACGAAACACCGAGCTTACTAATGAGCAAAAATATAAAACACCGAGCTTACTTATGAGCAAAATTATAAAACACCGAGCTTACTAATGAGCAAAAAAATAAAACACCGAGCTTACTAATGAGCAATATATAAAATACCAACCTTACTAATGAGCAAAAATATAAAACACCGAGCTTACTAATGAGCAAAAATATTAAACACCGAGCTTACTAATGAGCAAAAATATAAAACACCGAGCTTACTACTGAGCAAAATATAAAACACCAAGCATACTAATGAGCAAAAATATAAAACACCGAGCTTACTAATGAGCAAAAATATAAAACACCGAGCATACTAATGAACAAAATATAAAACATCGAGCTTACTAATGAGCAAAAATATAAAACATCGAGCATACTAATGAACAAAATATAAAACATCGAGCTTACTAATGAGCAAAAATATAAAACATCGAGCATACTAATGAACAAAATATAAAACATCGAGCTTTCTAATGAGCAAATATATAAAACACCGAGCATACTAATGAGCAAAAATATAAAACATCGAGCATACTAATGAACAAAATATAAAACATCGAGCTTACTAATGAGCAAAAATATAAACCACCGAGCATACTTATGAGCAAAATATAAAACACCGAGCTTACTAATGAGCAATAAAAATAAAACACCGAGCTTACTAATCAGCACAAATATAAAACACCGAGCTTACTAATCAGCACAAATATAAAACACCGAGCATACTAATGAGCACAAATATAAAACACCAAGCTTACTAATGAGCAAAAATATAAAACACTGAGCATACTTATGAGCAAAATATAAAACACCGAGCTTACTAATGAGCAATAAAAATAAAACACCGAGCTTCCTAATCAGCACAAATATAAAACACCGAGCTTACTAATCAGCACAAATATAAAACACCGAGCATACTAATGAGCACAAATATAAAACACCAAGCTTACTAATGAGCAAAAATATATAACACAGAGCTTACAAATGAGCAAAAATATAAAACCCCCAACTTACAAATGAGCAAAAATATAAAACACCGAGCTTACTACTGAACAAAATATAAAACACCAAGCATACTAATGAGCAAAAATGTAAAACACCGAGCTTACTAATGAGCAAAAATATAAAACATCGAGCATACTAATGAACAAAATATAAAACATCGAGCTTACTAATGAGAAAAAATATAAAACACCGAGCATACTAATGAGCGCAAATATAAAACACCGAGCTTACTAATGAGCATAAACATAAAACACCGAGCATACTAATGAGCACAAATATTAAACACCGAGCATACTAATTAGCAAAAATATAAAACACCGAGCTTACTAATGAGCATAAATATAAAACACCGAGCATACTAATGAGCAAAAATATAAGACACCGAGCTTACAAATGAGCAAAAATATAAAACACCCAACTTACAAATGAGCAAAAATATAAAACACCGAGCTTACTCATGAGCGCAAATATAAAACACCGAGCGTACTAATGAGCAAAATATAAAACACCGAGCATACAAATGAGAAAAAATATAAAACACCGAGCTTACAAATGAGCAACAATATAAACCACCGAGCTTACTAATGAGCAAAATATAAAACACCGAGCTTACTAATGAACAAATATTTAAAACACCGAGCATACTAATGAGCAAAAATATAAGACACCGAGCTTACAAATGAGCAAAAATATAAAACACCCAACTTACAAATGAGCAAAAATATAAAACACCGAGCTTACAAATGAGCAACAATATAAACCACCGAGCTTACTAATGAGCAAATATATAAAACATCGAGCTTACTAATGAGCAAAAATATAAAACACCGAGTATACTAATGAGCAAAAATATAAAACATCGAGCTTACTAATGAGCACAAATATAAAACACTGAGCATACTAATGAGCACAAATATTTAACACCGAGCATACTAATGAGCAAAAATATAAACCACCGAGCTTACTCATGAACAAATATATAAAACACCGAGCTTACTAATGAGCAAAAATATAAAACCCCGAGCATACTAATGAGCAAAATATAAAACACCGAGCTTACTAATGAACAAATATATAAAACACAGAGATTACTAATGAGCAAAATATAAAACACCGAGCATACTAATGAGCAAAAATATAAAACACCGAGCTTACAAATGAGCAAAAATATAAAACACCGAGCTTACTAATGAGCGCAAATATAAAACACCGAGCTTACTAATGAGCAAAATATAAAACACCGAGCATACTAATGAGCAAAAATATAAAACACCGAGCTTACAAATGAGCAAAAATATAAAACACCGAGCTTACTAATGAGCAAAAATATAAAACAAGTGGTTAAGAAAACAATCCTTAAAGGAAATGGTTTCGATAAAAAAGCAAAAGGAAGTCTAAGGTAGCGACAGAAAATAAACGATCCTCCATGGCTGTAAGGGGATGTTAGACATGAAAATTCCAATTTGATTTAAGGAAATAGTTAGGATCAAATACCTAACGCGGATGTTAAGTAGGTAGATGTTGAAAGACTTCACATTGCTGTAAGGAAGAGTTTAAGATGTAATACTCGAGTGGCTGTAGGGAGGTGGTAGAGGCTACTAAGACAGCGACATGTACGACATGTACGACATGGCTGTTACAGTAAGGAGATAACATACTTACCATCCGCCATTGCGTATATCTTCCTCTTCCCCTCGGTTCGTTCCTAATTAGATCAACATACTACTTTATAGAAGGCCTAGTTCATTAGTATGTTTTGGACTTATATTTTTAATCGTAATGTAAGAAGACGAGACGTGTCTTAGGTTATTAAGTCATGAAGTCCTACTTTTAAAAACAATCAATTATTCTAAACAACGTGACTGCAATAATATTGTAGTAGTTACAAGCTGGAGAAGCTGAATCAGACATAACTCCCTAAAACGGATATTAATTTATAGTTGAGGTTGTTCTTGGAATACGAAATTGCTGCTATGATTTACTTACGGCAGTTCTTTACATCTACAGTTTTTTCTGAACAAGTAACTTACATATTCCAACGCTATCCGTAGCTGCTTGTTGGCATCCCTGAGAGATTGGCTCACAATCGTCAAATAATAAATGAGCATTCTGTGGTAAAAGAGAGATAATTAATTTGGTATTATCATCTTAGAAAATGTTAACATACAGTTATTTACGGTTTAACAACAGGTATAGAGATCAGTGTTATTGGTGAGTCGTCCGGTATCTTTACTTTTACAACTAGTCTCGTTGAACCAGCCTCTTAATGACCTACGAGACTTAAACATATAAATACATCTGTTTGGGGTAGTGTCCTGGAACCAATAATAAGCTTGTTTTGCGAAGCTAATCTATAGTATCCACCAGATGGCGCACCCAAGCAACATGAAGAGCGGCACGATGACGACGGGTGACGAGGTGTATTCTAGGATCGTTCCCGCCACACTAGGTAGGTCCTGTTCTATCGTGTCTGTCAGTGTACTCAGTATCTGTTGCTGACCACTGAAATAGGAAAACCATGGTTTATCATCTTTTACACATTTTACGTCGGCATACGAATCCAATACGATGGAGAAAAGTACCACTGATAGGTCATTAATTGACGAAAAGGCAATATGGCGAAATAAGTATTTACGTTCTGCATCAACAAGGTAATTTTCGTAATAGTACCTCTTTAATTCGTATTTCTAATGATCATTTAACTTTACATGGAGAGATAAACTAGGTTATTTAAGACTTTCACCTGAACGGCCCACAGTGCGGCGACGGTTCCAGGGCGACAATAGCAAAGAGAGGAGGCAGCATTGTGAGAAACAGCATCACCAATAGCAGGGCGTAGTAGAAATTGTTGGAGCGTGACGACCGGAAAATTGCCTCTTGGGGAACGTTACAGACGATGACGGACCAGCTCCGAACGTACACAAGCACGAGCAACTTCAGTAGATTAAGTACAGCAAGACCGGGCGCGAAAAATATCCCCAGCCTGGAACATATGCATACTTCTTTGAGTGACGATTCCTTGATAGTTAAGCTCCAGGTGCAAAATTGTTTTGAGATACTGAACATTTAAGAAATATTAACAAATTATGAAACCTAGCTACGATAAGATCACGAGATTGATCACATGAGGTGAGTTTACCTACCAGACGACCCCTTGATTGTTCACAAGATGAAGGAGATTTTCAGCAGTCTTGAAATCAGCATATTCAGGCTATCAAAATGCAACACAAATTGGCGTTTAAATATTGTTTTAATTAAACATTTAAGATTATTTCAATTAAATGTGATTTTATAGCTAAACACAAGAAGGTGGTCTGAGTAATATATTTAATGAATGGCGATATACACATTGCAATGAAATAAATGGATGACTGTTCGGTGTATACTCCGAATTATTTTAGGTTTTGTTTAGTTAGTCAGGACAAATAAGAATGTAAAAGGTAACAAGATTGAACATAAAAAATGGAAGAGACAGAAAAACGAAAGAGAAAAAAAGCCATCGTGACCACCCCAGGCACGTTTCACCAAAGATACAAAACAGCTATATCACCTTCCCCACATAACCTGATGTTTCAGGCAGACGAGAATAATTTCATCCTGACAAACTTACGAACTGTTTTTCCATGTCCCAGCAGCACAAGTTATTACAGTATCGGACAAAGAGTCCACGGAGGTAATCCTGTACAATGATCTGACCTACCACCACTACCAGGTCCATCAGCGTCAGCTTCACTACCTCCTGTCGGGAGAGAATTTATCATAACGTGATTTATTATATGACTGGTGCTAATTCCCAGCCCTGATTGGAGGAGTGACGTCATGTGACGAGTCTGTAAATATGTTACAGACCCCGTTCTATGAATAGAAAAGTGTTACAGACCTCTACCTATAGATAGAAAAGTGTTACAAACCGCTACTAAAAATAAGCCTAGGTAATTTCCCAGCCAGTCTGTAATTCTGTTACCAGTCACTACTGAATTCAACTGCAAATGGATTATCTTATCAAATTCTGAACTATGTGAATATTGATGATGTGGATAGTGCAAATAATATTTATTTTAAATTAAATATCACTTGAATTGAATTTGAAATTCAATTTCTTGGATGTTATTTTGTATTTGAAGTCCTTCACTCTGTAATTCCAAAATGATCCATGCCATCGATGTGTTTATGACTTGCTTAATTATTAATCTCATTGTAAAATGTCATATAATAAAACAATTGTGGACTTCAGTTTCGGTCTATCCCTGATTTAGGGACCTCACCTGAAGTCCATAATTGTATAGTATCCTTCCCATCAAACGACTTGTGTGTACAGTTCGATCACTCAGACCGATGTGTTTAGTCTTTAAAGTGTTATATTCAATAAGACAATACTATAAACATAAATACAATCTTAGAGGGAAGAGGGATGTAGCCTTCGATCACTCAGAGCGACTTGTCTGTAGAGTTAAATTGTTTGTAGAATTTAATTGCTTCTTTATAAGTCCAATATATTAAATATCGTTATGACAACTATCTGAAAATGTGGGCAACTGGACGATTCCATATAATAAACAAGTCCAGTGACTAAACGACCTGTCCTATCATGGTCTCCCAGCACAGGTCGGCCGAAAGTTCCTCCGACACCGCACTACTACAGAGTGAGGCGTTGTAGTCGACTATCACAGACTGGACGGTGGCGTTGTAACCGAGTGTCGCCGGCTGTACAGTCACATTTATTGGAGGAATGCTCGTGGTTTGTTCACAGCGTGTAAAAGAACTATTGATTAACTTCTCTTCAAGTTCTGTCTTCTGCAAAATACAGATGAAACCGTAGCATTGGTCGCTATATAAGTGTTGTATTATGGACAACAGAAGGTAGTCAGATTGACCTGCGCTTTGACATATAATTGTTGAGCAAATATAATCGCAGTGGTTGTTCCTTTTTGCAAAATATGAGGTTGTTATATTTTATCACTGGTCTATTTCAATAAGTGATATCTGGAACATTTACACAATTATCGAGGTCAAGGTCACAAATCCAGATACGGTTTTTTTGGAAAAAAAGGATTAAAAGGCATTACATGACTTTTTGAAAGGTCACAAATGCTTCATTAATTCTAGAATGTGCTAGATATAGAACATCACTTGATCAAGAAAATTCTCCGCAAAATCTTGGAAGATGAATCGAATTTTAAGGTTTACACGAAAACCAAGCAAAGGATGGTGTTTTCCATGGGTAAAGTTCCCAGGTTAACACTGTACATGGTAATAGGGTTCCTCGATTAGTACATTAATGTCAAGGTCACATTTTCTTCGATGGCAGAGCCTCCCTATGATTAGTAATAACAACTTAACTCTTGTGTGAAAAAGAACTTTGTAATGTATTTTGAAATGATCTTAATCGTGAAAATGTGAAAAATATGGAATACAAAACAATTAACTGCTTAACAGGATCCGCCTGTCTTAAAAATATGTATAGCTGTAACAAGCGCTGAAGACATGGAACGTTTATGTATATCATTTAAGGCTATCACTTGACTCATCAATATTTGTTTAAGTGAAATCATTGAAACAGAAGTACTCACCATATCTTGTTGTTTCCAGAACAGGGCTATGAACAGTGTGTAGAGATTTAACAGATTCAGAGCAAATATCCTAAAATGTAAACAGTATATATCAGTCAGGCAATGATCAACACATTACACATGTAATGGTCAACACATCACACATGTAATGGTCATCACATCACACATGTAATGGTCAACACATCACACATGTAATGGTCAATACATCACACATGTAATGGTCAACACATCACACATGTAATGGTCATCACATCACACATGTAATGGTCATCACATTACACAAGTAATGGTCATCACATCACACATGTAATGGTCATCACATCACACATATAATGGTCATCACATCACACATGTAATGGTCATCACATCACACATGTAATGGTCAACACATCACACATGTAATGGTCAACACATTATACAAGTAATGGTGAATACATTACGTATGTAATGGCCAACATATCATACATGTAATGGTCATCACATCACACATATAATGGTCATCACGTCAGACATGTAATGGTCATCACATCACACATGTAATGGTCAACACATTACACATGTAATGGCCAACAAATCATACATCTTATGGTCTACACATCACACATGCAATGGTCAACACATCACACATGTAATGGTCAACACATGACACATTGAATGGTCAACACATCACACATGTTATGGTCAACACATCACACATGTAACGGTCAACCCTTACACATGTAATGGTCAACACATCACACATGTAATGGTCATCACATCACACATGTTATGGTCAACACATCACACATGTAATGGTCATCACATCACACATGTTATGGTCAACACATCACACATGTAATGGTCAACTCATCAAAAATGTAATGGTCAACATATTACACATGTAATGGTCAACACATCACAAATGTAATGGTCAACACATTATACAAGTAATGGTGAGTACATTACGTATGTAATGGCCAACATATCATAAATGTAATGGTCATCACATCACACATATAATGGTCATCACGTCAGACATGTAATGGTCATCACATCACACATGTAATGGTCATCACATTACACAAGTAATGGTCATCACATCACACATGTAATGGTCAACACATCACACAAGTAATGGTCATCACATCACACATCATACATGTTATGGTCAACACATCACACATGTAATGGTCATCACATCACACATGTAATGGTCAACACATTACACATGTATTGGCCAACACATCACACATGCAATGGTCAATACATCACACATGTAATGGTCATCACATCACACATATAATGGTCATCCCATCACACATGTAATGGTCATCACATCACACATATATGGGCATCACATCACACATGTAATGGTCATCACATCCCACATGTAATGGTCATCACATCACACATGTAATATTCAACACATCACACATGCAATGGTCAACACATTATACAAGTAATGGTGAATAAATTACGTATGTAATGGCCAACATATCATACATGTAATGGTCATCACATCACACATGTAATGGTCATCAAATCACACATGTAATGGTCAACACATCACACATGTAATGGTCATCACATCACACATGTTATGGTCAACACATCACACATGTAACGGTCAACCCTTACACATGTAATGGTCAACACATCACACATGTTATGGTCAACACATCACACATGTAACGGTCAACCCTTACACATGTAATGGTCAACACATCACACATGTAATGGCCAACACATCACACAAGTAATGGTCAACACAACACACGTTATGGTCAACACATTACACATGTAATGGTCAACACATCATACATCTTATGGTCAACACATCACACATGTAATGGTCAACACACCACACATGTAATGGTCAACACATTACACATGTTATGGTCAAAACATTACACAAGTAATGGTCAACACATTACACATGTAATGGTCAACACATCACACATGTTATGGTCAACACATTACACATGTAATGGTCAACACATTACACATGTTATGGTCAACACATTACACATGTAATGGTCAACACATCACACATGTTATGGTCAACACATCACACATGTAATGGTCAACACATCAAAAATGTAATGGTCAACATATTACACATGTAATGGTCAACACATCACAAATGTAATGGTCAACACATTACACATGTAATGGCCAACACATCATACATCTTATGGTCAACACATCACACATGTAATGGTCAACACATCACACATGTTATGGTCAACACATCACACATGTAATGGTCAACACATCACACATGTAATGGTCAACACATCACACATGTAATGGTCAACACATCATACATCTTATGGTCAACACATCACACATGCAATGGTCAATACATCACACATGTAATGGTCATCACATCACACATGTAATGGTCAACACATCACAAATGTAATGGTCAACACATTATACAAGTAATGGTCAGCACATCACACATGTAATGGTCAACACATCACACATGTTATGGTCAACAAACTACACAAGAAATGGTCAACACATCACGCATGTAATGGTCAACACATCACACATATTATGGTCAATACATCACACATGTAATGGTCAACACATCACACATGCAATGGTCAACACAATGGCCAACACATCATACATGTTATGGTCAACACATAACACATGTAATGGTCAACACATCACACATGTAATGGTCAACACATTACACATGTAATGGGCAACACATCATACATGTTATGGTCAACACATCACACATGTAATGGTCAACACATCACACATGTAATGGTCAACACATTAGACATGTAATGGTCAACACATTACACATCTAACGGTCAACACATCACACATGTGATGGTCAACACATTACACATGTAATGGTCAACACATCACACATGTTATGGTCAACACATCACACATGTAATGGTCATCACATTACACATGTAATGGTCAACACATTATACATGTAATGGTCAACACATTACACATGTAACGGTCAACACATCACATATGTGATGGTCAACACATTGCACATGTAATGGTCAACACATCACACATGTAATGGTCAACACATTACACAAGTAATGGTCATCACATCACACATATAATGGTCTACACATCACACATGTAATAGTCAATTCATCACACATGTAATGGTCAACACATCACACATGTAATGGTCAATACATCACACATATAATGGTCAACACATCATACATGTTATGGTCAACACATCACACATGTAACGGTCAACACATCATACATGTAATGGTCAACACATCACACATGTAATGGTCAACACATCATACATGTAATGGTCAACACATCATACATGTATTGGTCAACACATCACACATGTAACGGTCAACCCATCATACATGTTATGGTGAGCACATCACAAATGTAATGGTCAACACATCACACAAGTAATGGTCAATACATTACACAAGTAACGGTCAACCGATCATACATGTTATTTTCAACACATCATACATGTAACGGTCAACACATCATACATGTATTGGTCGACACATCACACATGTAATGGTCAACACATCACACAAGTAATGGTCATCACATCACACAAGTAATGGTCAACACATCACACATGTAACGGTCAACAGATCACACGTAACGGTCAACACATCACACATGTAACGGTCAACACATCACACAAGTAATGGTCAACACATCGCACAAGAAATGGTCAACACATCACACATGTAATGGTCAACACATCACACAAGTAATGGTCATCACATCACACAAGTAATGGTCAACACATCGCACAAGAAATGGTCAACACATCACACATGTAATGTCCAACACATCACACATGTAACGGTCAACAGATCACACATGTAACGGTCAACACATCACACATGTAACGGTCAACACATCACACAAGTAATGGTCAACACATCGCACAAGAAATGGTCAACACATCACACATGTAATGGTCAACACATCACACAAGTAATGGTCATCACATCACACAAGTAATGGTCAACACATCGCACAAGAAATGGTCAACACATCACACATGTAATGTCCAACACATCACACATGTAACGGTCAACAGATCACACATGTAACGGTCAACACATCACACATGTAACGGTCAACACATCACACATGTAACGGTCAACACATCACACATGTAACGGTCAACACATCACACATGTAACGGTCAACACATCACACATGTAACGGTCAACACATCACACATGTAACGGTCAACACATCACACATGTAACGGTCAACACATCACACATGTAACGGTCAACACATCACACATGTAACGGTCAACACATCACACATGTAACGGTCAACATATCACACATGTAACGGTCAACAGATCACACATGTAACGGTCAACACATCACACATGTAACGGTCAACATATCACACATGTAACGGTCAACACATCACACATGTAACGGTCAACATATCACACATGTAACGGTCAACAGAGAAAACAAGTACCAGTGGTGGTCATCCATCATTTTAAATCCAAACAGTAACCACACTAAGTATTGTAAAGTGTTGTTATCAGCATACTTATTAACAAAGAGTTCATATCACTTGTAAAGTGTTGTTATCAGCATACTTATTAATAAAGAGTTCATATCACTTGTAAAGTAAACGTACTAACTTTACACTTACGCACGAGATTATTTACATTTACCGAACCCCAATGACATCAGTGGACCTATAATTGGCGCACACACATTTATAATGTTACCCTGGACCTATAATTGGTGCACACACATTTATAATGTTACCCTGGACCTATAATTGGCGCACACACATTTATAATGTTACCCTGGACCAATAATTGGCGCACATACATTAATAATGTTACCCTGGACCTATAATTGGCGCACACACATTTATAATGTTACCCTGGACCTATAATTGGTGCACACACATTTATAATGTTACCCCGGACCTATTATTGGCACACATACATTGAAAATGTTACCCCGGACCTATTATTGGCACACATACATTGATAATGCTACCATGGACCTATAATTGGCGCACATACATTGAACATCAACCCCGGTCCGAGAGCCCTTAGATACCCCTGCG